CGCAAAAATGCAGTAAGGTTCTAAAGAATACTTTAGTCATGGAGGGAACCTTATTATTCCTACAGAAAGCTTCACACTCTCAAGGAATTGACTATCTCAACGTCTCAAGACTAAACAACTGATTTCTTCATGTCGCTTGTTAGTAAAATAAAGTACCAAAATAACAAAACACAATTCCAATGATATCTATGACAAGGTTAAATACAGAAATGAAAGATAAAATGATAAATCAACATACCTGTAAAAATAATGGAAATACACCAGTCAGGTATACAGGAAAGCTTGTGACTTTAATGAAGATGATGTTGCCTTGAACATTGCATGAGAAACAATGAAGGCAACTTCCTGTCCCTGCTGATGTGGCACTTTTGGTCAAGTCCATTATGTTACAGGGGAGAACAATTCTGGGTCGATGCATTATAGGAAGGGGGAAAAAGTTAACCAACAATTAAAAAAAGGGGGGGCAATTTCCATGAACTCTACACTTATATGTGGTTTTACAGACTTTTATACAGGAAGCCCTCTTGAACCCTTTGCTGGAGCATCGTTACAGTATTGCACTTTTAAAAAAGTGTTCCTAGTGGCTTTGGCTTCAGCGAAACGCTGTTCTGAACTTCAGGCTAAGGATCCATACTTATGCTTCGAAGTGGGAGGGGTATGAGTGCGATATGTGCCAGGTTTTTTACCAAAATGGCCACGCCCCTTCATCTGGGTCAGGACATTTTCCTACCAGAATTTGAGGAACCGAATCTGAGTCTCTGTGTGAAAAGGGCCTTGTGGGTCTAAATTGACAGGACAGCCCATTTACTTATGGGAGCAGCACCTGTTTGTTGCCTTTGGTGGCAAAAAGGAAGGATGCCCTGTGTCCAAGCGCACCATCTCTGGATGGTCAGTGAGGACAGTTGAAGAATGTTTAATTGGCTTGGTGGTCTCACCTTGCCATATACAGTCCAGGCTCATTCTACATGTGCCATGGCCACATGTTGGGCCTTATTCAATGGAGCGGCTCTTAGCGATATCATGAGAGCTGTGGATTGGAGGAGCTCTGTGACTTAGCAGGTCACTATGGCTTAGTGGCTTAGCTGAGGGTCAGTTTGGCGGGACGGTTTTACTGCAGTATCAAGATTAATAATAACCGGTAAGGACCATATCCATTTGTCCTTTCTGCGTACGTTTCATTTTTGTGCTTATTTCATGTTTATGTTTGCCAGTAATAGGTGCAGTCAAAATAGAGTGACTGCCTCCCTCCTCTTGTACACTGCTTTGGGAATCTACCCTAAAAGTATTTGGAGGCAGCAGTAAGTATACAAATGAGAAGGAATGTAAAATTTCGAAGAAATTATGATTCTTGAAATGAGTATACTTACTTCTGTCTCGCTCCCGCCCTCCATCCTGGTCTCTGTATATGTGTATTGAGATTCTATGGTATGCATGTGTTACTTTCTCAGATACTCAAAGAAGCACTGGTGCACGTGTGTGGAGTGAGTGCTCAGGGGACCGGAGGTAATCACGTGACAAGGCTGTTTTTTGTTCTGTAAGAACCATTGAGTAGGAGTTGAAGGAAATGTCCTAAAAGTATTTGGAGGCATACGTCTAAGTATATTCATTTCAAGAATCATAATTTCTTCAAAATTTACATGTACATTATGTGTATATTCTAAATTTTTCATAAAATCTGTAAAATTGCAGGAAAGTGCTTAAAAAGGGAATTGCATAAAGGGATTTACATAAATTGTACCGTACGTATACAATGTAATACCGCAATATTGTCTTCAATTAATTAATATAGTGGATGGGGTCACAACCATGCAATATGGATTGGTCACATAAACAGCCAATATACCATGTATTTGTTATTGTCTTATGTTATGATTGTAGGGTAACCAATTTATATTGGCAAGACTGTGAATTATGTATAGGGTGGTGTTACAACCGATTTGCATCAGTTTAAGTCCTTGGGTATCAGTAGTTTTGGTGGACCAATTTTCTAATGAACAGATTGGTTAAAATTGAAAAATTTCGACCAATTTGCTGTAAGGTGTAGATTTTATTTTTTTTCATTGCTGATTCATTGTTGTTTCAGGAGATGAATGTCACCAAGTTTTCTCACAAGTAAGTTAAGTGAGCAAAGTTGGGTTCAAAATTTGAACAGCATACCCCAGCCCCTTCCTGTAATGACATCAGAGTAAAAGTACTTCATTTCTTGAAAAAAGTCAAAACTTAAAGGAGACGAGATTAATCAAAATGGGGTGTCAAAACAATTTTACGAAACTTTAAAATTTAAAAAGGTGTAGAAAGCTGCACTGAAATCCCAAAGTAAAATTTGTACATCACCCTTTCAATGCAATCCTTTACTCTTTCAAATGAAATCTATGTGAATTGATAAGAAACCTGTACATTTACGGAAAAAATCCTATCTACTCACTGAAGTGAAGTTGAAGGCTGGTTTGGTTCTGAGTTGCCATCAGATGCATCTTGAGGATGATGATGTACAGTACTCTCCCTGTGGGTAAAAAGTAAGGTGTGATTTGTCAACTTAAACACAAAACGCTTCACCCTATATTTTGGTAAGACTCCTTATTAACAGGATTAGTTCTTATGTGCATTTCTGAGGAAACTGTAGATTGTGGAAAATTGCTGTTGTCAACTTGGAAACCACAGTGCATTCAAGACACATGCATAGATCTATGAGTCATATTCATGACTTGGCCAGCAGATTTGATATCAAATTTTCAAGTTTCTTCAACGTACCTGCTGAAAAGATTTTTGTCCCAAAGCAAAGAAAGGTGCACCTGCGAAGCTGGCAGCTGGTATTTCCAGGCTTATGGTACACAAACCCTTTGTACATGTACGTTTCACTTCTTTGTGACGATTTTAGTCATTTTATAAAAGTCAGTTATTTCTGTGTGCTGCAGACCACAAGAAAAAGCAGCGAATATACACTTTGACAAATATGAAGATGCATAGATTACAAAATCTTCATTACTGCATAGAATACTGCGCAACAGCTTGGAAAGTTTACATACACATGTAACTCTGCAGAAAACCAAATGGCTCATTTCACAGCGACAAGCTTCACAAAAACAGTTGGTGTATGTATAAGATTGATTACATGATGTCACTGGGGGCTTTAATGGAGGTGATTCCCAATAAAGTATGCCACCAACTGATTGCAATGGCCTGGCACAGCGAAGCTTTTTTTTTTCAAGTTGACAAAAGCACAGCCACCTTTCCTGGTTTACATTTGGGCATATGTCAGGAGACAACTGAAGAAGTTTTTGACACACAGGAACATCGCATGCAATAAACAGATAGAAACAAGACAGACTTAGTGCATGCTCCATAAAAGCTTCACCAATAATTATTCCTCTCTGAAACAAAATCAGTAATCATTCAAGTTCTCCTGTGGCCAACTGGCAAATTTGTTGACCATTTCCCACTATGCACTGCAAAAAAAGGTCTGTCCAAAACAACCTCTTGGTGGCTCACAATATATGTTGTGATTTGTGAATCCCCTGTATGGACAGTAATGGCCCCTTACTTCCTGCTTTCCTCATCCACATCAAGTTATCCACTAAATAAGTACATGTAAATGGGTCATTCCATGACGTCGGGGCCCAATTTGTGACGGTGCCAATTGTTACATAGGTTCCGTAAAAATGAACAGTTATTTCCCTGTATGTGGATTCCAAACTAACATTAAATAAGTATTGAAGGTTTGCATGGTGAAGAGGTATAATAGAAAGTAGGTTTGCGGTAGCACCATGGACGTATCTCTTTTGTGAGTATTTGCGGTTCTAAAAAGTACCACTGAAAAGTACCACTGGTTCTTTTCAGAACCGCAAATACTCACAAGAGATACGTCCATGGTGCTACCGCAAACCTACTTTCTATTCTACCAAACTAACATTGTTATACATCTTGCAAAGCTGAATACAGAGGTGTGTTATTTTTTACAGAGTAAATGACCTACTCAACAGGTCATGACAGGTGGTAAAAGTAACCAATGTAACATGGACACCGTCACAAATTGTGCCCCAACCTCATGGAATGAAATACTCACCAAAATTACAACAGAACATTGGCCAGGAAGCAAAGAATCATGACCAAAAATGAGTGGACCGTCAGAGAGCCCAACCATGTAAAGGGTCAACAGAAAAAATCATGCTTATCGTATATTTATGTTTATTCGGCCTAAAAGAAAAAAGAACATGACACACAAAATTGCAGTTAACTTGCATATTTGAGTACGTAAATTAAGTGTAACAGAAATAACAAGCAGAGAACTATGCAACTATTAAGTCTATCACTGTACTTGAACATGTTCTTATTACATGTAAATCCTGAACCGATGGCTCTAATGCTGCCCAGCATCTGGATGACCTGAAGCGTACCGTAGGGTCATAGCCACAAAAGACAAAGTACATGCCAATGTCCCAAGGTCACCAGAGAGCTCTAACCATACATTTCACATATATGTAGCCTTCCCAGTTATTTTAACACCAGTGTTTCACAAATTCCCAAGAAAGATATTCTGATTTCATCTCCAAGCAACTTCAAACTCGATTCCCAATTTCAATTTCAAAAAGCCATCATTTGATTTCATTCATGTTGCAGTGTAATTCAACCTTGTGGCATTCTAATTTGTCCTAACTAGGCCTACATTTAATTCGGCTTGTGTAGCAATCAGCATCGAATTAAAAAAACAAATTCGTTTTCTTGTTAAAAGGGGTTAGACTTTGCAAACAACATTCTTGGGTTGAATGCTGGATGATATGATCAGGTGGTGTTAAATTGTACGTTGACATTGTTCCATTGTGAAAGGTCACTTCTTCCTTCATGACTTCCTTCAGCCCTTTGGCATTTCGTTAGCTATTGACCTAAGCTTCTACTAAATCTATTTTCAATTCATGTCATGCTGTATGTCGGCAGTGCCTTACCATTCACCCTTATTATGCCACACTGAGCGAGGGTGCACAACAAAATTGCAGTTAACTTGTATACTTGAGTACATGTAAGTATATCAATAGTCTAACAGAAATTACAAGCAGAAACTATGTAACTATTAAGTCTATCACTGGACTTGAAAACTGCCCTTACCTGTAAATCCTTAAACATGACAACTGCTTATCTAAATTGTGTGTCTGAATTCTCTGGGCAAAGTTAAAGAGGTTCATGTATCTCAAGCATCTAATCCAACGATCTCACTGTCTGAAATAACTGATAAACCTTAAATTGTGGAAATACACAAACTGCTGCTGAAATTAAGGTTGTATGAAAAGTCTCTTGAACTAAATAATTACGCATCTCAGTCGAAATTTTAAAAAGTGTTTACATTCTTTCTAGAAAGCTTATCTTGCTTGGAGAAAACCTATGAATACTACATTAAATCTACATGGGCTATCTATGAAACACATCTACATGTACATTTCTGACAAGACAGTTTACATGTACATGTATACTGCATCAACACCATAACATAACATGTTCATTGTTCTCAGTCACATGTCAATAATCAAGGACAACTGGGATTTATATTGTCTAAACCTCAATACGCACTGGAAATAACAATGGAATGGTCACTTAATTCTTTGGCAAGACTCTTCTGTCATCTACATGTACTGAAACTTGTGTGTTGGTATCAAACATGAAAGCTAACAAAACTCAGGTTCATACTACAAACTTTCTGTAAAATGCACAGACAAAAATGGCTGACAAAAACTACACGTGTCAAGTAACTGTACAACTATAGAGGGCGTACTTTAATTCAGCTGGTCTGTCCAGGTCACTGGAACAATGAGAATTTGGTAAAATTATACCAGATTAAAGAAATACGTACTGTATGTGGAGTCTTCGGTGAGCATCTGCAGGTGTCTATAATAATAGGCTTGGGCGGTATTGCCTTTTTCGATACCGCGGTATCCATGAAAAAAATACCGCGGTATTTACTAATACCGCGGTATTCGTTGCAGAAGGCAATGACGTCATCAAAAAGCAGCGGCGATGCTGGCATTCAAAGGCAAACCACAAACAACACTAGGGGCCAGCATAAAAAAGGGTTTTTAACGACACAAAACCCCTAAACGTAATAACTAGTATAATTTATCTGTCCATTTGATGTGAAGTAAAACGTATGTTTTAAAAAAAGGACCGCGTTTTAAATACCGATTTGTTGCTCCGCGATATATATCTGTGTGGTCACTCGTGTATGTTTTATTCCTCCATGCTCGTACGGTGTCAAAATCTGCACATGTGCTGCAGTCAAGTTGGTACTCGCCGAGACAGTGCGTTATTGTAATGATTACGTGCGGGTCACCAGTGGCTGCTCCTTTTTGCGCCCTAACACTGCGCGTGTGCAATGGTAAGGTGGCTTTCAGAAAACTCTGCGACGCGGCGGTCGACTCTTATTACGAAATCGGTTGTAACAAAATTCCGATTACAAGCACAAATCTGTGGTCCCGGTGAAAATGTGTATATTTATTTGGGGAGAAAATATGTTACAGCGAAATAGCATTGTACGGAATTCTTGGTACAACGAAAGGTTTTCGTGACTCCGTTGCCTGAAGAACCATTCTTGGCGACCCATTTATAAAGCGTTTGCGAATCGCGGTGTTGAAAACGTTGCGGTGCACCACACTGGTTCCCGCAGAACGGAACCGTTGCCAATGAAGGCATGATGGAAATGCGGCAAGCAGTCAATGTACAGATTCTGCCAAAAAGGGTCGTACGTTCCACTACATCGAATGCAGCTCTATAGTTGCAAGTCGAAAAACACTGCCGTCACAATTTTTTCCGCAGGTTCATTCTCAAAAAAAATGATCTCATGTCTATGTTTGCGTTTTCTGTGTTTATGAATTTAATTTGAAGTTGTGCTGCTTGTACTCAAGCGAGCGTGCTTCCACAAAATTTCCAGTCGTGCAACACAAGGCTTATCGCGTGCACGCTTACAACGCGATATACAGACATCGGTTGCCAGATTCCTGTCGTCATGACACGCATAGTGCACGATTAAAAAATCCATGATATTTTACATTCATTACACAAACACCAAAACAAAAATTCCCATCCAATTTCCGATAAAATACGCCCCAAATAAGTTCGCATGACTATTCTCGTATCTCAAGAGTCCAACTAATCGTCCAACACTGAATTATTTATATTGCTGAAAAGAGATATAGCGTGCCCGCCAATGAGACTGTGCGCTTTCATGACGTACATTTGGCAAGACACAGCTATCCTATCGCAGTACTCGTTCATGACATTCTGCTTCTTCAGCGACCATCTCGCGCGGGCGACCGCGCCGCAGTGGGCGAGTGATCTCGGACTACCAACTGAATCAATCGTGTCATGCAGCTTGTGTCAAAAATCAAAAGAGAGGCGAAAAATTAAACAAAAATGTCTCTCCGTGACACAATTTGTGTTGGAAAGACTACTTACATGGATGGGGGCTTTAGTTAATGAGCCTTCACATTCTTGCAGGTACATCCAGGCCTACGTGTGCATTCAGGTTAGTTACTGTTGGCTTCGTCGTCATCCATGGCGATTGAAAGTCTTTTAAAAATCCCTGGATCGATGCTTTCACATATATTTGCTTTTTTTTTATTTCACATGCACATTAAACATGTTGTCCCATGACAGTGAAGTTTATTATTCTAAACACATCACAAGGTATTTGATTAATCATAACCGAGACATCTTTTTGATCAACCGTTGCACGTTGTCCTAATTTTATATTCCGGAAAAACTGAAATACAAGCAGTGACAAGTGAGGAATCGGGTTTTTGTTTCTCGTTTCGTATGGTTTGAAGGAATGTGAGAACAATAAAAAAGATCGTTGATTGCCATGGATGTCGAACAGATGCAGATTTATGGAATCATTTTATAGTTTATAACACACATTCCTGGCTTCGGTTAGATAGATTTTCACACAATACTTGTACATGTTGTATACAAAGGACAAAAAAGACCTAAAGAGAGCACAAGGCTAGCACAAGCAGCATTCGCATTTTCTGATCCGCCAATAAAAATCTGCGGCAAATAAAGTCCAGTGCGGACACGGAAGACCAGCTGATTTTTTAATTCCCAACCTGTAGGGCTGTGATACATGTACATGTATACATGTGCCAACGAGCAATAAAAGAAGCACTGCCTACAAGCTATTCCAAAACCGCAAACTTGACAGCGGCGATAGGGAAACAAAACCTTTTGACAGGCAGGTTGATGGCTGCATGCTGAAGTATCACGTTACATCTTATCTCTTCACCAAAAGACACAATACAAACGTGATGCTGGATGACTGAAACCACGAAGTATGCAGTCAATGTTGTGGATATAAGTGTCTGCTTTCATCTTTGAGGGTTGTGGGAACATTCTGAACAAATTAGCCAGAATACCGCGGTGTTGAAATTCAATACCGAATAAGTCGGTATTCCGGTATTCATGGATTGTTAGTCGGTATTGTTCGGTATTAAAATCAAAACCGCGGTATTCGGTAATACCGAAATACCGCCCAAGACAAGTCTATAACCATAACCGATTAATTTGGGTAACCCAAATGCTGCAAGCAGTTGCCTCTGCTATGGTTTCCAGATCAAATTATAAACATCATCAAAGGCTGAGTTTGGGCAGCTTGTTCTCGTATGTTCACGAACAGCTTGATCTGTTGTTCTTAGATCAGCCCTTCGAACGCTGGCAACGTACAACCCGTTATTGCTGGTAGTTAGTCACAAGCAACATTCAACACGGCGGCGTCCATGTACGTTATTCGAGAGTTAATGTTTGGATCACTGGGCTAAATTCTTTTCTGTTTAAACAGGAACATTCATTTCTGTGTTATGAAGAATAATTAAAATTAATGTTACTTTTGCAAAATTTCAGACAGTCTATGGCTTTGTAAGCCATCACTCTACTTTTTGCCATGTTTGCAGCTGTGCAAAAATCAAAATCTCATGAGTTTTTCCGTGTGCTCTTGTAAAACCCTGACAAGGAGGTTGTGTGTGATCCTGTTCCGAGAACAATGTTCTGGAATCGTGTTCCCACTGTTCGAGCGCGAGAACAAGAAACCTGTGCTGAGAACAGGTCGCCCGAACTAGACGAAAACGTCGGAGAGTTCTTGGCTTTAGTTTAAATTCCTTGGTCTCTCGCGGAAACCAAATGAGGCACACATTCATACAGTTCCAATCTCTGAACCACACTTGTCAGGCTATATACTATTCAAACTTACCTTCACTATTTTCTCCAACGAGTCATGCAAATTTGAACCGAAAACTCCACCAGGGTTCTGCCCCACTACAATTTAAATATACATGTCGTGCACAACATGAGTCTTGACAGCGCGAAGTGTGCGTGTGTGCATTGCATACTTTTGTGTAGACCGCGAAAAGGAACACCGCCCTCTATCGATTAAATCAATAGCGCCCTCTATTGAATAAAGAAATAGCGCCCTCTGTTGCTATTAGGAACAGCGCCCACTATTGTTACAACAAATAGCACCTTCTATGTATGATATTTAATAGCGCCCTCTACATTTTTTAAAAAATTTATTTTTAAGAATAGCGCCCTCTATTGAATGCAGAGGCAGCAGCAATAGGAGCTGTAGGACGCCCTCTGTTTTAAGGGCTGAAAATGTGTTTAACAGAAAATTACAATAAGCTAGATGAGAAGCGCCAGCAAATCCTCATGTCCCGTAGCAGTCAGACGTACGTCGGTAATACGGGCGATTCACAATAGTGCGCCACAGATAGTTTACAACGCATTGGCCAATCAAACAGCGCGAAATTTGTCGACCCTTTCCAAACGGGCACTGGGTCGACAGATTTTGCACATTGTGATTGGCCAACGTGTTGCAAACTCTTGTTGGCGCACTATTGTGAAACGCCAGTATTGACTCCCGACTTATCAGAAACAAGCAAATGCCCGAATTTAAGCGTTTAAGAAAGCCATTGTCTGTATAGGATTGAAGCCAACTCTTGAAGCATTTTCTTTGAACAGAAAAATTGAAATGCGAAATGATAACATTGGGCCTCTTGGAATTTAATTAGATCAGCATTAGAATTATTAATCCAGGCGTAAGCCCAGCCTAGTCTGCTTTAGGCCTGTTCTAATCAACATTAGGCCTAATCAACATGCAAGGCCGGGCAATATCGTGGAGCAAAAATGTTGACAAAATGATACAGTTCTAATATTCTATTTGGGACCAGATCAGTATCCTCATGTTAAGGCACAGGCTAAACAGTCATAACATGACCTTTGCTAAACTGGTCGATTATGGTTCCCTGTGGCTACTAGAAGTGGTTCTTGTATTTTGTGTGACTGATGTCACTCTGAGCACTGAAACCAGTGGCATCACAGGGCACTACGGCAACGACGATGGTTTGAATAGTGTAGGGAAAGCATGGGAAGTGGAACTTCTGTCATGACAGCTTGCCTGAAAAACCATGAAAATTTAAGTTTGTAACCCAAGTACACTTAAAAATTGGGGAATTCTGGCAATTTCAAACACAGCTATACTTTGCAGCCAATCATTAATGCATTGGCAAAGGTGTCACCAGGACTGGAGAGTAGGATGATTTTTTCCTGGGGGAGGGGAAACAACCAGCAGCGGTGATAAATTGTTTCAAGTGAAAGGGGGCCAAACTACACGGTTTTTTCAAACAAATTGGTGATTTTCATCTTTTTTTCTCACTTTTTTACATCTACTGCATTGTTTTTCAGGGGACCAGGGGCGCGAGGGGAGTGCCCGTGTTGATCACCTCTAGAAATACAATGGAATCATGTAAGCTTGCTCTGCCACAGAGGATTCATACACAATTTGTAAAAACTATTTTTCACTCACTAAAGATACTGTAAGGTACCCATATAATCGAGGATTTGACTTGTCCCACACACGTACAAGCTGGACCTGATCACCAACAAAAAATGGAAACAGATTATCAACAAACTGTTGGTAATAAATGAGTTTTTATTTGCAAATGTCACAAACAGTATGAAACACGATACGATACACGCATACACGTACATGTATTTTAAATGTGACATTTAAAAAATACAGATATTAGTCCACTGTCCTGACAGCAATGACTACTTGTTTTGGAACTCTATTGAAATTCTCACTGTCCTCGCTTTCAAGTTTGATGGGGTGAAAAAGTAAGTTAGATTTTTTTTTTAAATAACAGCTCTGAAAACCCTCATTTCTCAGTCATTACCATGTTCTATGAAGCATTAATGTTTCAAGCACAAGTGAAAACTGTTGATGCCACCAGCACGAGAAAGTGCAAACTCAAAAAGTGTCAAATTGAAAAAACTTGAATACAACTGATGTCTATTTCAGCTGGTCAATGTGTTAAAAGTTTTTGTAGAATTGAAGCAATGTCACACAGACGGTGGAAGACTCGTGAAAATTTGGTGTCAATAAAATCTAGAACACAAAACTACAGTGTTTCTGGAGCAAATGCAGCTTGGATCTGGCCCTATGGAAATACCTATAGCAAGCGAGTATTCATGGTGGATCTTTCTGTATTTAAAAAAAAATCAGCATAAGTTTTAATTGAAACTGTTTTAAACAAATTTTGGACCTTTGCATGTGGTAATCTTACCAAATGTTAAAGAACTATAAGACTGAGTGTACACTCATAGCCTGTTCAGGGAGAGTTGTGGCAGGAGTCTCAATTGTTAGAACCAAAAAGGTGGATTATGCGTCCATGCACAATTGCAAAATGTAGCACACCACAGCTGCATGCTGTACTTTCCACATATAATGAACAGCCATGTTTTTCCAAAGTCTGACGCTGGCACTACTCTCCCTACATACTGCTCTGAGTACATTGGTCTACAACTGATTTAGTCTGCCTAGAACCTACATGCAAGTTTCTCTCACAAACTATGGGCTTCACCTCATTGAGAAAATTGGCCAAGAAACTGTTTGATAGTAACAATCCCGACATTATCTTTTCTGGCTCAAGAGTCTCCGTTTTATTCTGTTCTCATCAATGATTTCAAATTATCTTTAGTTTATACCTCCCAAAGCATATTAAACACACACCCTCAACTATTGCCATTGGTTACATACAGTAGTTGCATTAACGACCAAGACCGTCCCCTGTTTTAGTGACCCTAAAAACCGACTAACTGAACAGTGAGTAAACTAGCAAGTTATCGAGTAACTAAATTAGCAGTTTGGTTGAGCAAATGCGCAAAGTGAGATATAAAAATATGTTTTTTTAATGCTATATACATCTGGCAATCTAATATATACAAAGAACTTTGAAGTTAACTAAAACTTAATGAAAAAGATGGATAAATGAAAAACGGGCAATCAATAAACTGTCTGTAGGTCACTGATTGACCAAATTACAAAGTTGTCTTGTGTAATGTTCCTTTTGAATCTGAATGTGAAAAATTGAAACAGACATGCTTTAAGCTACTAATTCAAACACAACTTTTTGTCATCAAGCCCCTAAAGTCATCTACACATAGCAGACCAAGGTGAAAATGTGGGCTTACTTGGAGCATTCAGGAAGTAAAAAAACATTTAAATTAGGTTGCCATTACACGCGACAGAATATGCAGGAAATGCTGCAAAACAAATTCCACTTACAATTGTCAGTATGACATGTATAAATCAATTTTGAGATTAACCGTTTGCTGTTAGCAATCTGCTACCCCAAAAGTGCATACCACATCCGTTTATTTATTTATTTGAATTCCTGGAAACAAATCTGACGGTTCTCAAGAGGGCAAAATCATGTAGATTTCAGTTTTAGCAAGGGGAGGAAATCCGGGGGGGGGCTATCCTTAGAATTGAGTAGGGACTGAAAGCCCAATCCAAATGTCAGGATAGGTTGGATTTCGACTTGAGTCAGGGGATTGCCTGGAAAGGATCAACACACCGACCACATTCAGAAATTCAATACAATACAGTGCATGTAAACACATAAATCCTTATGCTGCTCAGTTCTCTTTCCACTGCACAAGTCTACAGTAAGGGCAACATCACATCAAAAAAGGTATGTAAACCAAGAATATATTACTGACTAGCTGTTAATGAGCTACATGGAACTACTGCACACATTTAAGGTTACTTGTTCATACTTCCTCGACCAGCCTGTTCTCCACTTGCATGTACTGGAACAACAAAGCCATCATTAAAAAAAATGCTTTGCACAGTTCCAAATGTTTGCATGTGGCTATTTTTAGACATCTCACTGGCTGGCTATTATATCAAATGTAGTATTCGTCTTTCAACCACAGTTGACTGATATTTGCACTGAAGTTGGAAAAAATCTCTGCAAACAGAATCCCCCCTTCAGATTCCAAGAAGTGCTAACATTGGTTTTTAACATCACACTGATGACTCCACCCATAAAATGGCTTCATTTCAAGAGTGGTGTACATGCCAGACACTGATAAATAACATTTCAATGCACAAAAATATTAAATACGATAAACAGCTCTTGCTTGAGTTAAAATAGGTTTCTCATTGGGTTAACAGCTCTTGCTTGAGTCAAAATAGGTTTGTCATTGGGTAAACAGCTCTTGCTTGAGTTAAAATAAGTTTCTCATTGGGTAAACAGCTCTTGCTTGAGTTAAAATAGGTTTCTCATTGGGTAAACAGCAGTTGCTTTAATACCCTTTTCACTTGTTTTAGAGGTTTTTCCACTCAACAGCTCAGACGGGATTAAAAACAGTCTTCAACATAAATCCAACTTGGTGCTATTTCTAAAAAAAGACTTTGTAAAAGGTCAAACCAATTTTTGGTATCTTGCAAAGTTTCATGCCTGGGTCATACTCAAAACAAGCAATGCTTTTGAATAATTTCTGTCGTACACAGCATCACACCTTTTTCGTCAGCATGGATATAAAAACAATACTGTTGAAAATGTTGAGCACCACTCATGTAAATGCTTGAAACATTCATTTTAAATATTTTACAAAATTACCATAACTGTCTATTTTTTCCTAGTAAGTACTTTGTCTCATCTACCCTAACCTCAATAATGTAATATTTGGATTTGCCCTACAAACATGTTACTGTTGATTATTAGTTATTTTGAGCTGTCTATCGAGTACACAAAAACTGATTCACATAGAAACAACTAAAGGTGCACAAACAGGCAAACGCATACATGTTTACAGAAAAGTATACAACAAAAACAAAAGGGGAAAATATACAAGGCAATGAAAAACCCTGGGACAGTACACAATGTGATGACCTTAGGTTTGGTCACCAAGTTATCTTTTATCATAACTATGAAATATTACAATGGTTTCATTGATATACGTGTGTGCAAGGCAGTCAGCAACTGTTGTACTGCACAATTTCAGTCCAATGAACACTTTTAAACATGCATACCTGGTACATGTAAATGTAAATCTTCATGTGTTCCCATTTACTCTAGAGTAGCCCTTCTACCTTTGCATTGTCCGGACCCACCAAACACCCACGCATGCATTTATGCAGAATGCAAAAGTGGGAGGGTTTTTCAATGAAATGGAAACCTCTTTACATGAAGCACTTAAGGATTGTTGCTTTGTGGTCCTGCACTTGTGGATCTATCCCTTCCACAACTGGATTTGTAAGACTCCTAAAATATTGCAGGCAGCGGATAAATATTGAAGAATTTCAACATGTACATGAAGAAAAAGAGTATCCAAATAATTTTTGATGATGGCTGATTTTCATCAACCTGTCAGATTTTTCCCTGTAAAGAAAAAATTACCTCACACCTACATGACCTACATTTAGGGACTTAAAGAGATTAATTTCAGTCATTAACCTTCACTCAATCAGACCAGCAGTTAACAAACATTTAAAATTTTTTTGGAACTTTCAGATTGAGATCATAAGTCAAAAAGACTTTTCTACGTCAAGACTATTTAATATTTGTTCAGGGCAGGGGTGTGCAAACCAAAGCACTCTGTAATATCAATCCAGAAAGCTGTAGGCTTTAGAGCAGTACTTATGTGAGGCTATTTGCCTAGGAGACTCACGACTTTTTTCACCTTTTGTTTCTTCTTCTCCATGTTTTTCTTGTCGAAACCTAGAGAGAAATTCAGAAAGAAAACACAAAGGAAAAATAAACCACAAAGAAAGAGACTCACACATACATGTACATCCACTATTTGCATGAGAACACTAAGGGAACAAACAAAAATACCATGTA